AAAAAAAAAACATATGCAAGGTAAGTGCTAAAACCACAGTACTTTTTTGATCCAACTATTATTCATTTACCCAGATTTTAATTTTACAGACAGTATACTTGCACATGTATGGCAAAACGACTTCCTAAGGAAAGTAAATGCCTGTCCTAAATTACAGAGTAATTTGGGAAGAACAAAATATAGAACTATATAACTTACTACAAACTATCTCATTTATCACCCCAAAAGGACCTTATAATCTTATCTAACATTTACTAAGTACTAAATTGTATGTTACTGAATTAAGCATTAAGCAAGAATATATGTAAAACCATTTAGTATAGGCTCAGGAATAGTCGGCAGAGTAAATGAGTACCACCATCACCAAGGGGACACAAGGCCACTGTGTCCATTGGCAAATGAATAAACCATAATTACTTTCCCATCTACTTAGGAGCTAGGTACCTTGAGCTCCCACCACTACTCCTACCTTTACCCTAGACACATATATGGACCTCAATCCCAGGAATGAGACTATTTTGCTTCCTTCTGAAAAAAAGCAACTATGATCCATTTCCAAGAGGCCACTGCCTGGATAGAAAGCAGTCTCATGTTGCCAGGTCTTCCTAGAGGCAGTTTAAGGAACCAGATCTTTTCTTAAACAATTTTGTCTCATTTCTGCATCTACTAAGCATGCATCCATGCTGGGTTACTACTTAACTTCACTCAGCTTCAGTTCCCTTACCTATAACATGGAGGAAATGAAGCTATTAAAAGAGTTAATATGTAAACCAGGCATGGTGGTACATGCCTATACTTGGGAGACAGAGACAGGAGGATCTTAAGTTTGAGGCCAGGAAAGGAAAAGGTAGCAGTGAGACCCTATCTCAAAAAAACAAGTTGGGCATAGTAGTTCATGACTCTAAGTCCAACTATTTAGGCAAAAAGTTATCAGGACCACAAAACTCTTAAGTAAAAGAACTAAAGCAGCCAAAAGCTGGAGGCTCTTGCCTATAATCCTAGTTACGTAGGAAGCTGAGATCAGTAAGACAGCAGTCTGAGGTCAACCCAGGCAAATAGTTCGAGACTACATTTTGAAAATAACCAGAGCAATATGGACTGGAAGTATTGCTCAACCAATAGAACACCTGCTTTGTAAGCACAAAGCCCTGAGCTAAAGCCCTCATTAAGAGCTTTGAAGAGTGCTTGGCACATAGTGTTCAGTAAGTAGCCAAAAGAAGTGAGAAATGTAAGAAGTTCTAAGAGGAGCATAAATGTGTAACAATGAATTGAGTAGCATATCATGAACTGCAACATGAACTCATATGGAAGCTGTATGAGGGAAAAAAAAAAAAGAGTAAAAACCTCCAGAAAAGTTCATTAATTTATGTAAAATGGGCAAAGATATAGTTTGAAAAAGTCAGATTTTTATTAGGAGTGAAGTACTACTTGAGCTGAAAATTCTTACTTACTCAAGAAACATTTATTAGAGGGCCCATGCCTTTTAACAGAGTTTTAAGCAGATTAACTGGTTTCTTCCCACTGTGATCAATGAGCCAATAGTCAAAACTAATAGAGTTGAACAAATTATACTCCATAGTCAAAATATTTCAATAGATAAAAAAAAAAAAAACTGACGCATGAGTCAGATGATGGCTCATGCCTATAAATCCTAGCTATTCGTGAGGCAGAGATCAGGAGGCTCTCAGTTTGAAGCCAGCCCAGGAAAATAGCTAGCAAGACCCTAGCTTAAAACACATCCAACCAAAAAAAGGGCTGGAGGAATGGTTCACGTGGTAGAGCACCTGCCTAGCAAGTGTGAGGCCCTGAGTTCAAATCCCAAGTGCCACCAAAACAAAACAAATATAAACTGACACATGAAATCTTCACTAAGATTCCAGCTCTGCCAAGACCAAAAACAAGAACACTGATTTTTTACAACTTCCTTCACTCAGGCAGGCCTAACTAGGATACCCACTCTCAAAAGTACATTAAAAAAAACAGGTAATGCTTAGGGTGGAGAGTGGGCTGTTTTTATTTTTTTGTGGTACTGCAGTTTGAACTCATGGCCTGGGCTTGCTGGTCAGGCACTCGACCACTTGAGCCATGCCACCAGACCTTTTTAGCTTTATTTTTTTAATAGAACTCCAGTTTTTCCCTGGTCCAGCCTCAGTGATCCTTCTCCTATACTTCACACGTGGCTGGGATTACAGATGAAAGACATCACACCTGGCCTATTTTGTTGTTTGGTTCTCTTTGGGTGGTACTGGGGTTCGAACCTAAGGCCTCACACTTACTAGGCAGACAGTCTACCAGCTCTTTTTTGTGTTAGGTATTTTTGAAATAGTGCATCCCAAACTATATGCCTGGGGCTGGCCTCTGCTTCCTCAAGCACCTGTCCTTACAAATTGTTTTTGTTAGTAAAACAAGTCCCTTTCCTTCTTATTTTCACCAATTAGACTTTTCTTTATTTTGAGCCACCGGTGCCAAGCCCTATTTTGTTTTTTTTTTTTTTTGAGACAGGGTCTCACTGTGAAGTCCAGGATGGCATGAAATTCACTGAACATTCTACTCTCTGACCATTACCAATTTTTCCAGTTGTTTCACTCTAACATATCTTGTCCAACTTCATTGGAACCACAAGTCTTTTTAATTCACTCAAACTACCAGTTCTAGTCAGGTCTTTCTTTCTTCTCTTCCTATCTTCAGCCTTCACAATTCAGTCATTTTCTTACTTTTATGAATTCTCTTTCCTTCCCTTTTCTCATAAAATTACAGTATTAAAATAAACAACCACTGACTCTAATTCAAAATTAAATGCAATTCAGTATGTGATATTTAGGCTTCCTGATGCTTACCACAGGCTGTGTTCTTACACTTACTGCATAGAAGGAGGAGGGAAAGTAAACCTACCCCATTATACTTCAGCTCAGGCCCTGAGCCTGCTCTATATTGTGAATGGGAAGACATGGGGTAAGGGAAAAAAAGAATTTAATGTTTAGCCACTACAATATACAATATTTATATAATACTTAAGTCTCAGTTTAGAGCATCATTCCTGTGATGCTCTCCTAACTGCCTTGAAGATCACCAGACACTCCATCTCCTCTGTAATCAGTATACTTTATTACTCCAAGTTCACTATATAGTTTCATTACCAGTGGACCTGCCTGCTAGCCACGTTTTGAAAGGCAGACAATCTACCATTTTATGCTTTAGCCAACTGCAGAAGGGGAAGGGGGGTAAGGGAAAGAAGATGGGGAGTGGAGAGGAGGGGAAGGAAAGGCTAATTTTTACATGTTTCTTTCTGTGGGTGCCTTTACCCTCTTTTTGAATGCATGTTAAAGCTCTAATTCAGGCTTTTAAAAAGCAAAGATTCCAACATGGGTACATAATTAATCAAATTCAGAAATTAGTTTGTTCACACAGATAAAGGAGGAGTACATTTCTAACTTACCATAGCAACATCATCTAAAATGCTTTGAGGTGAACTATGAGCCATAACCTAAAAGAAACAAATTGTCATGTTAAAAAGAAAAAAATACCATTTAATCAGTAAGATTTAAGGTATAAAACCTCAGTTCCAAAAAAATAAAAAACCTCAAACTGGTGTGGTAATTTTTTGTAGCCAAGGAAGCTTTCTTTTTTTAAAAAATAAATTTTAATGCCTTTTTGGCAATGGTAATTTTAACCAATTTGCCAAATTCCTTAATTAGGACTAATGGTTTCCTTGAGAATGATGCCAATGGAAGAAAATAAACATATATGGAGTTTGGGAATTTGGCAAAATAGTTAGATGTTAGCCAAGGAACCTTTCTATTAGCTTTCTATTCTGGGATCGCAAGCACCAACTATAAGTCAATCCTTAACTTACACAATCCTCCTCCCTCAGCCTCCTGAGTGCTGAGATTCACAAATTTTCTTTTTCTTTTATTTTTTTTGTCTTTCTGGTTCTGGAGTTTGAACTCAAGGTCTCACACTTGCTAGGCAGGCCCTCTACCACTTGAACCACTCCACCAGCCCTTTTTCGTGTAGACTATTTTTGAGATAGGGTATCACTTCTGTTGCATGAACTGGCCTTGGACCACAATCCTTTAGAGAAGCTAGGATTACAGGCATGTATCACTGGCACCCAGCTAATTATAAGTGGAAGGCAGCCTAAGTTTTCTCTTCATTATATTAAAAAACCATTCTAGATGGAAGAAAGGCAGGTTTATGTTTTGGGTTTTTTGGTGTACTGGGGTTTAAACTCAGTGCCTTGTGCTTGCAGCACTCTACCACTTTAGCCACAAATCCAACAAAAAAATAGGACTTTTTACAGGACTGTGATGTTTCTGGCACAGAAACATTAAAGACATGAGCACTGGTGGCTCATGCCTATATTCCTAGCTACTCAGGAGGGAAAGATTAAGAGAATCATGGGTCAAACCACGTCTGGGCAACTAATTCTCGAGATCCTATCTTGAAAAAGCCCTTCATAAAAAAGGGCTGATGGTGTGGCCCAAGGTGTAGGCCCAGAGTTCAAACCCTAGTACTGCAAAATAAAGAGAGAGAGAAAAGACTATGCTTTGAGGATACAATATAAGGATATGTCTTGCTGGTTAACAGTACTGGCTTTAAGTACTGCTACTCACTGTATAACCATGGCTATGACAATCTGTCCACAAACCTCAATTTCTTCAAGTATAAAAAAAGGATAACATTAGTAACTTACACTTAAGTTTTTGAGGTTTAAAGAAAACAAAATCTTATATAAAACACTAACACTGTACCTGCTTAGAACTAGTAAATAATCAATACCAAATGATCACTATGATGATATGGGAATATTTTGCTTCTCTTCCAAAGGATGTGTGACTGACAAAGAAGCTTGGTAAGACAATATACTGGATACCTCCAGAGACCTCAAATTTACTTCAACAGCATTCTTCTAAACAGAAGAAGACAATGGCACTGGGATGGAATTCTCACCATTAGAAGCAGCATAATTGGCAGTAGCCAGCAATTCTGTCCTCTATTAACCTCTGTATAAAAGCATATATTGTGACAAGCCTGAAACAGGGTAGAGGGGTTCATTAAAGCAGCAATGGGCCTGGCTTCTATGACTTACGCCTATAACCCTAACTATTCAGGAGACAGAGATCAGGAGGATGAAAGTTCGAAGCCGGCCATGGGGAAATAGTTTGTGAGACCCTATCTCAAAAATACCCAACACAAAAAAAAGGGCTGGTGGAAAGGCTCAAGTCGTAGAGTAACAACCAGCAACTCAGCAACCAGAGGCACTGAGTTCAAACCCCTCGTACCACCAAACCAATTGTAAAAAAACAAATAAAAACCACACAACTCTTTTCTGACATAATGGCATATGCCCTTTCATCCCAGCTACTTGAGGCAGAGGCAGAGGCAGAAGGAGGATCATAAGTTGCAGGCCAGCCTGGGCAAAATTATGGATACCCTATCTCAAAAATAAAACTTAAGAAAAAAGTACCAATGGATCATTTAATTGAAACTAAACTATCATGGACTGGGCTCTGTAAGTATTTTAGAAATACTTAGTATTTAGAAATAAAACTTGGGCTTGGAGGGAATAAAAAGACTAACCTTAGAACAAACAAAATCAACTAATGTAGCCTCTTCTTCCCCTATGTATTCTATGATTTTCTTATTGATCCATGGTCTAATTCGTCGCTCCATCAGTATCTGCAAAAAAAAAAAAGCATGGTTAATGAACCACGTAATTATAGTCTTTTATAACATCTACTAAAAAGCCTAAAGCCTCACAATTTTTAAGACTAAACTATGTATGTTCATTCACAAGTTGAACTAAGAAACAATTATTTGCTTCTACTCTATGACAGCCAAAAATTTCTCAATATAAATTCCTTGTCCAGGGGTATTTACCTGGTGTCAAGGTTCTTAAGTGCCAAGAGGATTATCCATACTTATTTGTCATTACTAGAATGAAATAAGGTTCTATGTATGCCACACTGAAAACTACTTCTAATATGGTAGTATTTAATTTGCTACTCACAGAATCCACAATAGACCAATCCAGGGGATAAGCAAAGAGTTCAGGTTTGGCTGTAGGGATTTTCTCAATTAGACTCTTAATGTGTTTGCGCTTTTCTTCGGTGTTTACAGTGCCTTTGGCAGCATTTTTATCATCTTCACCATAATCCAAAGGAACCAGTTTCCTTTTTCGGGGTACATCATCACTGTCTTCATCCTCAAATTTGTTAAAGACACTATCTACAGGTAGTTTCTTTCGCTTCACAGAATTAGGTTGCCCAGGACTATTAGAAGCACCTATAGTAAAAACACTATCTTAGTATGAAGACTTAATTTTTAAATGTTAAAACTGACAACTCCCCATCCCTCAAAAGCAGTGCGAAATATACTTCCACAAATCTCCGAGAAAGATCCCAACTATAAAAAATAACTCTCTACTCACAAGTGCTAGAAAATTTAACTTTTCACTTCTTCTCAGAACTCGAGGCAGCTGCGGATATAGGAGCACTAGTAGAACTATGAAAACAATCGTGAGCTAGAAAGGCATTTTTAAAAAAAAAAAATACTTTGCTATCTACCTACCAAGCAGCATATATTTATTATTTTTCCTTAAAGCAAAATATAGAAATTTGTTTGGTGGGGGAGAAGGAGAAAGGAAATGCTAACATACCCAGTTTAAGACTTAGTCCTATTTTTGGCCTATGCTCCTCAGGCTGCTGTTGGTCTGGTGAGTTTTCGTGAGGAATAATAATACCACATGGAGACTCATCCCCAGGAGTGTTTGGTGTTGCATTGCCACTAGCAGAGGAAACAGATGGGGCAGAGCTGATGGGCCTCAGAGTAGGTTTGAGACAAGGCTTTTGTTCTGGTTCTTCTTCTTCTTCCATGGGTTCTTCTCGTTTTTCTTCTTTTTCTTGCTTTTCTTCTTCTTCTTCCTCTGATTCTGGTTCTTGCTTTATTTGTGGCTGTCTACGCCTCTCAGCCTCTTGTTCCATCTACAGCCAAAAAAATTATCTGAGTAACTTTTAAGAGACTTCAAGTTACAATGCTTTTTGTTTTACAGTGTATTTAAAAAATACCTTTTTCTTTTAAATGGTGCTGGGGATTGAACCAAGGGCTTTATGCATGCTAAGCATTCATTCTATCACTAAGCTACATCCTTGCTTCAACATTATTCTTTATGATTAGGAAGTGAACACTTACCCAGAAAGCTGAGTTGAAGCTAAATAGTATTATTAGGTAATGTATTATGTGTTTAAAACATATATTTTAAACATGTTACTATTCTTCAGTGCCTTGTATGTAAGATCTAGGGAGGTAACAAAGATACATAGTAGTCTGAATTCAGAACGAAATAGTTTATTTTTGTATTTTTAAAAAAACTTAGAAATTATAAAAGAAGTTTTACTTTAGAATAGTACAGACAATACATAAAAGGCAACTCATCTTCAGGATGATAATATAAATCATTTTCCTCTCTGTATACTAACTGAAACTAATGGTCACTTAAAAAAGAAAGCAGGAAATATGGAAAAGAATTTAAGAATTAAAGACCTATAGCAAAATGAAAGCTATTTGGAAACGATTAGTAATTAAAAATTAGATAAACAGAGATCATTAACTACTTCGTTTTTTGTCTTCTATATTGTCTGAAATTAGTTTACTCAAGTAAATTTTTACTTTATCAGCAACAACAAAAATTTTCATGTTGGGAAAGAAAGGGATACGTTAACTGGGCACAGAACACACTTCTAATCCCAGCACTGTGGAGACAGAGGAAGGAGGATCACAAGTCAAGGTCAACCTAGACTATATAGTAAGATGCTGTCCCACAAAAAAAAAAAAAAAAAAAGAGGTGGAACATACAAGAATATTAAAAGTATATAACAGATAAAAACGGAAAGCTGAAATGAAAAATTTATTAGTGTCATACTGTAAAATGACATTCTCTTATGTGCAAAACTACAAGAACCTATGATATAGTCTGTTCCTTTATTAAATGACAAACTACTGACAAAACATCTTTCCTGAGGAAAGGAATCCAAACCAAAAGTCATCAAATGGCACAGCAGGCTGCAAGAAGCACAGTTTTCTTAGCGGTTTCATTAAAAGACAATGACCAGTAAAGGAACTGGTCAATTTGTAAGGTATTTACAAAATAGTTGTGAATCAAGTGATATTAACGATTTCTGTATTAAAAATAAATAGTACTAACAACCTACCACAAAATACCAACTTTCATGGAGTAGTCCTAAAACTGCACATTAAACTACATCCTAATTGGCTTTAAAAGGACACAGGGTTGAAAGAAAATCATCTACAGAGGCAGCATCTCACCCTCTGGAGTTCTGCATCAGGATCTGGATGTCCTTCCGCCAGAAGTCGTTGCCTGATTTCCTCAAGCTCTTCCTTCTCTCTCTTTCTGTCTCGTTCATCTGCTTCCATTTCCTTTTCCCTATCACGCAACCTTTTCTGAAGAGCACTCCCCCTGCAAAAGTAACAGGTTTCAAATTTAACAATCAGACTACTGACAGTACATAGGATGTCTCCAAAAGCGCTTTTTTAATACTAAAAGCCACACACTTAAGGACTAAGACTGTCATGTTTGACATCTATAGAACACCCAAGACAGTGTGCTCTCTACATGTTAATCTGTAAAAAGCAAGCGTTGTCTTGTCATTTATCACATGTCCCCCTGAAACACTTACACATTTGTATCTTTCAGGAGGAAAAAACCCCTCATTTTGTGCACATTTCACAGTGAATCCAACACATAATTGCATTTTTCAGATGCGAAGTTGTGAGTAAGTATATTAGTAGTACTAAAAACAGTAGCAATTCTGAGGATAAGGATGTAACTCAGTGTGAGAGTGCATGCTCACCATGTGTGAGGTTGTGGTCCCCAGTACTATTAAAAATAAAAAAAGATTACCAGGTGTAATAAGTCACACCTATAATCCTAGTATTTGGGAGGCCAAGGCAGGAGGATCACAATTTTGAAGCTATTCTGGACTACAAGAAAACAATAGTCTATACCAATTAAAATGAACTCTCTCCCTTCCAGAAAAATCTAGGAGCTATGTCTGGTGGTGTATGCCTGTAACCCCAGCACTCTGGAGTCTAAGGCAGGAGAATCACTTGAGCTCATGAGTTGAAGACCAGCCTAGTCAACAAAGAGAGAACTCATTTCAAAATCAAATATAAAAACAAACAAACAAAAAAACAAATACAGAGGCAGGGAAGGGTGTGGGAGTGTGGAGATGCCTAAAAGTAGTAGAGATTAGCAGAAAGCAGATATTCTATTTAGCAGTTCATTGTGTCTCAGAATGTAGAGGGTATGGATTGCCATTTTGTGACTCTAATATTCAATAATTTTACTGATTTTGTGGTATTTTCTGTATCAAAGTCAAATTCCTGGTACTCTTTCAGATTAAGTTACTAATTCCAATGTAATTATTGTGGCTATAATATACTGAAAAATATTAAACACTTTTATTATGCCTGCACCATGTCAGAAATGGTATGAAGACACTGTCCATATCCTCAGGAAATTTACAATCTGGTTGGGAGATAACAAAAACAATTTTACCGTAATAACATAAATACCAAGGGACCAAGAAGAGGAAGAGCAGGTGTTACAACTAAATCACTTCCCAACACTATCAAAATGGGGAATGGGATGGGAAAAGGTAGGTCAATTACAATAGACCACTCTCAAAATCCTAGAAGACAAAAATCTAGACAGCCCTAAATAGTTCCTATAAAAACTGGACCTATTTAACACATATGAAGGAGAAAAAAAGATTACTTAATATATAGTAGACCCTTCATTCCAACGAGACATAAGTTAAGAAAAACCACAAATGCTCAGGACGCATAGAGTTCACTATGGATACTAGATTCATTTTTCCCATACTAACACCCAACTTCAGCTAAAGGACATCCCCTTTTCAACAAATCTAGGTCCCCTTTCTGGCTTGGGATGATTATCATAGCTTTTACATTACTTTTGGGGCACCTACTTCTTTTTTTTTTTCAGATGGGATCTCAACTATGTAGCTGGGGCTGACTATGAGCACTCAAGCCTCCTGTCTCAGCCTAACAAATGCTGGGTCTATAGGCATGTTCCACAATGCCCAGTACCATTTACTTTCTTAGGAGACCAGTTTTCACAAAATTAAGGGCAGTGAAATACTCAGCATATCATACAATTTAAACACCACTGACAATTAACACTGGACTTACTGACAGCTTCTCCATATCAACTGAGCTGCTTCAAGTTCAGGAATTTAAATTTTGTTTTTGAAATTTATTCATTATTTTGCGCTAGGCCCAAACTGCATGTAATTAATCCTCAAATAAGGGGTGGGGGGAGTGGCCTTACTGTAGTACTGTCATACTGCATGGGAATTGTTGATTCTAATAGCTAACCAGTACCCACCCCATAAAACAGCGTATCAGGTGTGACTTTAAGAAGTTAAGATTTCTATCTTTCTTGTTTCCCTTAAGTAAACTTAAACACTCAGGTAGAAAAAAAAAATTACAGCAAATAAAAAGCTGAAAGTATGAGTTTATACAGCAAAGATTCCTTACCTGTAATATTTGGGATCATCTCTATCATCATCGTAGTCTTCTAAGAATTCTTTTAGTCTCTTAGCCTCTTTAGCCTTTGCATAAATGAAGGACAAAAAATGCAAAATTAACATGGGAGTCATTCAGATTACCTCTTGCCCCTTTCATGGGAACAGCTTTTTTTCCTTATCTGTACCACTTAAAACTCCAAAGTTCTCATGTATTAAGTGTGACTCACAGCCAGATGCCGGTGGCTCACGCCTGTAATCCTAGCTATTCAGGAGGCAGAGATGATGCCAGCCCAGGAAAATAGTTCATAAAACCCTATCTTGAAAAAATGCACCACAAAAAAAAAAAGAGCTGGTGGAGTGGCTCGAGGTGTAGGCCCTGAATTGAAACCCCAGTACTTTAAAAAAAAAAAAAAAAAAGTGCTCATTACATTAGACATTTTTTCATCTTTTACCAATAAAGCAAGTCAGCTTAGGACTTATCTCTGAAGTGAAAACCACACACACATACAGCATGCTATAATAACAATCCTCTTAGCTTTTTTTTTTTGAGGTACCATGGTTTGACCTCAGGGCATCATGCTTGCCAGGCAAGCGCTCTACCACTTGACGCTCCCCCCCAGCCCAAATATCTTCAAAGTACAAAATTATTCTCAATGAAACCTGTGCACACTGAAAAACAAAACAATGTCATCTTATTGACTGTAAAAAAAAATTTTAATTTCATTTTGTTCATATAGATGATATTACAAGTAGTTTTCAGTAAAATGTAGGATTAAAAATTTAAATCATGTTCATGCATCAACTAAAGCTAATGTCTACTATTAACCCCAACCCAGAAACCCTGTCTACCTAATGTTAAACTGAGAGTAAGGAAATCATAAAAGTACACAGATTTCTTATTTGGAAAATTTCAAATACAAAAACTATTATATCTAATACATATTTTAGATATACATATCATATCTAGCCACTATTATATCAGCATTTACATATAAAGCAAATAATTATTTCATCATGTTAAAGATGGAATTTTTTTCACCTAATTCTAGCTTACTATATTATTCTCTTCCATATCTTCCAGTCTAAGAATGAAAAAGAAATTCTAAAATGGGAGCCTTTATCTCAGTTAATTTTAAGTAATTAACATATTTCATCCAGTTCAAATTTGCCTTCATTTACAGACCTCTCTAAACATCCATAAAAAAATCCCTCCTAATTACCTCCGAAATACTGTGAACACACCTCAAAAGACTCACATATACCTCTTATTGGCTGCCTTTTATAACAATACGTTCACTTACTTAAAAAATTAGGATTCTAGCTCTGCGCTGGTGGCTCACGCCTGTAATCATAGCTACTCACAGGAGGCAAGTATCAGGAAGATTGGAGTTCAAAACCAGCCTGGTCAAATAGTTTGCAAGAACCTATCTCGAAAATACCCAACACAAAAATATTACTGGTCAAGTGATTCACGAGGTAGAGAACCTTCCTAACAAGTATGAGGCCCTGAGTTCAAACCCCAGTACCACCAAAAGGAATGAAAAAACATTAGGACTGTGACTCATTCCTTTATGCCAAGTTATCTAGGCTCAAGGTTGGCAATATGATGGACACTCAAATTTTGTCAAGTGAATGAACAGAGATGGTGGCAATAAGCCACAGCACTTAAATATGTATCTTCAATTATGAAAGTATGGGCGCACAGGAAGATACACACAGTTCGTATTAAAATACAAATGCAGCTTACAACTCTTGAGAAAATAAGAGGAAACTTTCACTTTTACTTCAAGTATTTGTGTTACTTGGACATGCGCAAGTAACTGCTTAACTGGTTTTGTTGTTGTGGGACTAGAATTTGAAACTCAGGGCTTCACTCTTGCAAAGAAGTTGGTCTACTAGCTACACCTCCAGTCCATTTTGCTCTAGTTATTTTGGAGGTGGTGTCTCATGAATCCCAAATTTCGATTCTCCCAATCTCAGCCTCCCAAATATCTAAGATTACAGAAGTGAGCTACCATGCCCAGCATGACTGGATTTTACTTAACGCTCACAAACAAAATAACTGAAAATATTTCTCTACAAAGACAGGTTACAGATTTGGTCATAGGAAATAATCATTTTAAGATGTTTAGTCCCAATGTCACTGATGACATTTCTTCACCAAATTCTATTTCTTTTTGGGGGGCAGTATTGGGGTTTGAACTCAGAGCTTTGTGCTTGCTAGGCAGGCATTGTACCATTTGAGCCACATCTCCAGCCCTCTATTTCTAACTGTATTATACACTTCCATAACTTTCAAACTAAGAATGAAAATGAAATTCTAAAATGTAGTTTTTGTTCCATTTCAAGTTAATTTTAAGAAAATAAAATTATTTTAAATAATTCTACAAGAGTCTATTATCTTGGAAACCCATAGTATCTATCTAGTTGCTGCAAGCACTCTTATAGTTACTTACAAAAATTCCTTCTAATTTTGTTTCAAGAACTGTTTGAAGACTCCTAACTTCAGTAAAGTTTTTGGATGAATAACCTCTAAACTGGCGATAAAAGAAAATTTCATATGCTGGCAAAGACAGAACACGTGGAACATACCACTGATGTAAATACTATGACAAAATAATCATCAGTTTACTCAGTAACTATATCAACTACTTCACTGCTTACACTTTATCAACTGTGTAAATGTAAAGATTAAAACTCATTTTATGACTATCATGTAAAGAGAATATTATAGTAACATAAGGAAAAACTAATTGATAAGTGTTTCATACATATAAACAGTACTTTTATCAAAATAGTTCTCACCACACTATTTGCTTCAAAGACAGTATCAATTCAAGAATCTTTCAGAATCTTCTAATTCTCCAACATGTTATGATATACTTCCTTTGGGGAAGAGGATAACTAGAAATTGAATTTGGAGTCTTGGGCGTGCTCAACTGTTCTATCCACTTAAGCCAAGTCCCCAGTCCTAGACTTACTTTGAAAGTATGAAAATATAATTATACGAGCAGTAAAAATTTGAGAAAGAAAAAAAAAATCTATGCACAGTAAATTTGGCAGCTTAAAATACACAAAAAATTGTCAAGTGGTAGAGTGCCCCAGTATTGTCAAAAAAATATTAAAAAATACATGAGTTATCCGTTGACTTAAAAAGCTTACACATTTGAATTAAAGTTATTTCTACTGAACAGTAAGATTTGATCTGTTATTACCTGAAAAATCACTTAATTTTAACCTAGAATCTTACCATTTCTCTTCTTCTTTCTTCTTCTCTTTCAGCCTCTTTCTCATATTCCCTGGTTTTTTTCCGTTCTCTGATTTCCCAATTCTTAAGGCGCTAAAATTAAAATTTCCAAAGCTTTAAAACTTTACACAAGGAATTCTACAAAAGTTGACTAACCTGCTATATATACCAAGGTTTGAGATTACAAAAGTTTTTAATCAATTTACCTCTTGATAAGCAGCTTCTTTCTCTCGGAGTTTCCGTTCAAGTTTCCTTCGTTCATATGCATCTTCTTCATCCTCTTCTCGGTCTCGCTTCTTGTCCTTCTCTCTTTCCCGCTCCCGTTCTCTTTCTCGCTCTCTCTCGCGCTCCCGTTCTCGCTCTCGCTCCCGTTCTCGCTCTCTTTCTCTTTCCCGTTCCCGTTCCCTTTCTCGATCTCTGCTCTTTTCTCTGAAAGATTGTTAAAATAATGTTGGTCAATCTCTCCTTTAAGGACCATGGTAAAGGTAAAGGACAACATATGCTACGAAATAATATACAAGGTCAAAAGGCAAAATTTAGCATTCAATTTCTGCAGAACTGTTAACTACTATATTTATTACAAAGACATACAAGGCATTAGAGATATGGCTCAATGGTAGAGCATTTGTCTAATATATAAGGCCCTGAGTGCAATTTGAAAAAAAAAAAAAAAGACAAAGACAAGCTATTAATTCTACCATGGTGCTGGCAAGTATGTGGTGAAAAGAGACATATACAATTATTGCAGTAGTGAAAACTAGAACTATATGTATCAACATTAAAAGTTCTCAAATATTTAGCTGTGAACATGGCTCAAGAATATAGAGCCTAAGTTCAAACTTCAGTACCCCAAACCAACTCTCAAAATATTTAATTCACAATAAAGCAACACTGCAAAATATATATGATGACTGATCTAATTAAATCCATGTATGTGTATACAACAGTCATTTAGGGATACATTTATTTCATAAAAATAACCAAAAAAACCCAAAACACAAAAAATAAACCCCACAAAAAACTGATTTTATAGCATGTCAAATTCTCACAAACGGGAGAAACAAAAGGAAGGAGGGATTTTAATGCTCCACTTAAAGCCAACATGGTTTAAGGATCACAAATGGACCTCTTTTTAGGTACAGTCTTTTGTTTTTCGGGGGGAATTATTTGTTTGGTTTTTTGGTGATGCTCCTAGGAAATGATCCCAGTGACTTGAGCAATAACACAACAGAAAACTGTTAACAGTAACTATGTATTCTGAAACAAATTTGAAAAGATGACCTTTTCTTTTCTCATTCAGTTTTTTCTTTTCATTTTTTCTCTACTAAGTTGTAGAGCACCATCCTTACAAGAGAAAGGCCCTGGATTCAATCCCTAGTACTGCAAAAACAAACAAAAATTTCTAACCTGTAATCCAGGTATTCAAGAGGTTAAGACAGGAGGATCTAGAGTTGGAGGCCATCCTGGGCTACATAGTGAGACCACTGCCCAAAAATTGTTACATTCATCAATGTTATCCATGTATGTAAGGTCAGACTAATGTAATTCATCGCATAAATGTAAAAGGGTTCTAGAGAGAGTTACTCTATAATTCTAAGCTATTGGAAATGATAGTATCTATAAAGTCATACCTTGATCGACTCCGATCCTTATTACGATCTGAGCTCCTTTCTCGATCCCGGTCACGATCTCTTTCTCGATCCCGATCTCGGTCTCTCTCCTTTGTCCGGTCACGGTCCCTATCCCGTTCTCGTTCCCGCTCCCGTTCCTTCTCCTTTTCTCGTTCACGTTCTCTTTCCCTTTCTCGTTCCCGTTCTCGCCTTTCTCGTTCCCTTTCACGCTCCCTCTCTCTTTCTCTCCGTTCTTTCTCAATTTCCTGTCTTTCTTTTTCCTTTTTGCCTTTCTCTTCTTCCAGTTTCTAGAAACCAATAAAAGCACTTTTAGAGTTAACTCTGTTGCTCTAGTATTTGGACTATTCCCGGCGCAATGCCCAATACTAGGAAGAAAAAATATCAAACCACTGGTACTTAAATATTAAATACTTGTGGCTTTACTGAACAAATTATACTGAAGAAATCACAAGACTAGATTTCTTGCAAAACCATATACTCTAGACAGGCCAGGAATCTTCAATCTTGGATGATGGGAGATTGTGTCAAGTGTGGCTGGCCACTAAATGATTACACAATAACTAAAATAACCATGAGGAATGTGGCTTATAATAATTCATAGACAATCACATTGCTAAAACGTAATTCATGCCTAGTAAGAGTATCTGTAAATCAATGGGAGTAATGATAATAATTACAACTCTAGACTTCCCAATACCTCCCATTACCTAAAGGTTACCAGATGAGGGTTTTTAAAGGGGAGGTGGAGGAGTCAAGTTACTGTAATGCAACATGTTCTTTCCTCCAGTGGTGCCCACCCTCCAAAAGAAACAGAGACTGAATTCAGAAAATAACCACCTTCTAATCTATGGAAATATTTACTCCCACCATTACAAGATGGACAGTCCATCAGATACAAAAACGTGGAAAACCACTCACTTCAAGCATACTGTACATAATTATAATATTTAAAAGCAACATTATTTATGCCCATTATTCCTGTAAGAAAATAAAAATATATTTACAATGATAAATCCATCCTTGGAAGGAACGATTGTGTATTAACTTACAGATGCTGTGCTAGGACATGGATCGCCAACACTGGATTAACCTTGCCTACAAGCTATGCTTCTGGGAGGAAGAGCAAGTACATGGTTCACAAATAAACCAAATAACAAAGTCAGACCAAGTTTGTACCCTAAAAGATTACCAGTGTACCACAAGGTTTCTACCCAAACTCAGCAGAAAAAAAAAACAAAATAAAACAAAAAAAGCAAAACCCCAAACATGTGAAACAAAAAACACATTTATCCCTTTGGTTCCAAGTTTAGTTTCACCAAGATGAAATTTAAACTGCAATAATAAAATGCGCATTTTTCTTTTCTCAGTCATGTAAAGCATTTAAAACAACTTTAAAAATCAGTCTTACCTGTTTGATACTTTTTCTCTTGCTCATGGACCAGAGAACTGATAGAGGATTATGAAAGGAAAACTAATGTATGAGGCATCAATATATTCAGATGCTGTGCCAATCTAAATTAGAGTAGAGTGCAGGCAGAGACAATACTGAATAGATTGAAATTACAAAGGGAAGAGATAAGAAATGGTAGAAAGAAGACAGAAACTGGAAAGCTATTAAAGGGGCTAAATCTCATTACTGAGATAATTCTAATGGAATATAAAACTTATACTTGCAAAATAAGACTAAACTACAGTAAACTTACCTCAGTGTCATACACTTACAAAGAAATTTGTTTATTTCTGAGATAACAGATACTTACAGATTATTTTAGCTGTTCCAATTTAATTTTGTATAATCCTCAATTTTTTTTACTCTTGCTTATTGTTACTTTTCTCATATGAAAAACAATGTTTCAGAAATTATATCAAAAGTTGAACTCTAAGTAAATGAAAGTGAGTCAATCTCATCAATACTAAATGCTTTTCTAAAAACGTTTTATATATGCTATATATGTGTGGGTACATGTATATGCAAGTATATATATATAAATATATAGCATATATGTGTGTATTTTTAAAGAAAGACTGAAAAAAGAGAAAATGGAGTCTAAAATAAATGTAAGAGAGTAATGAAGATGAAGAGTAAGAGACAGATAAAAATATCATAAATCTTACCTTATTCTCTCTTCAGACTCATCCGTGCTGTAAATGGACGCCCCCTGCCACGCTGATACCCTCACAGTCTGTGGTTATTTAATAAACTCATACCAAAACATGCAAAGGTTCACTGAGCTCATTTTTATTTTTATTATTACTAGAGTTTCCGATACCCCTTTAACCGTACCACCCAATGAGAACTTTTGTTTTTTTATTTTTTAAAACACATTTTGGAAATTCAAAATATCCTCCCCCTCCCAGTGAAATAATACTAAGGCAATGAAAGGCCTAATTCTTACAATTCCAGAAGCAATTATCTTTTTTAAAAAAAATATAATTTGCTCATAATTTACCAATAACATGACAGAGTTAAACAAATAAATAAAAACAAAAAGGGGGTAAACCACACACACAACTGTATACCATTTTTAAGCTTACTCAGTTCTGAATTTGAGTATTCAACCTAACCGGAAGTATTTCTCTACCAATGACTTCCCACAAACCACTATTTTCACTGTCTCAAAATTTTGGAAGTTACTTTTGTGCTTTCAGACACGAAAAGCACTGTGTATGTGAGTTATGGCTGGACATCCGGACAATAGGTGTTAAGCAGCACTAATTCACTGGCATTAACTATCAACTTGGGATTTTGAAGGTAATGAGAGAACAGGAAAGATGCAATAAAGATAAAATGAACATGTAACATTTCACTGAACTAAAGGTCTCTCAATCTATGAGTAAGAACCAGTAACAGAATCAGTAACATTATTACCTCTAACATCAAAATACATTTCATGCAGTGTTTGCATTTCACCATCTGTAAGCACCACCTTCAATACCAGCAAACATTCACAGATGCACTGTCATTGAGAGAAGCTTTAAATAGGCAAAACTCGTGAGTGGGATTTACTACAAACAAATACCCATTACCAAGCCAGTTACCCCTTTGCATATTTTTCTGAGGGGGCATCCATAAATATAATAAAAAACAGAAGCTCATACTTACATCCTATTCCTTGTTACTTTCCAAGCTGAGAGTTTCATCTTGCATTAGTCACCATATGATCTCTATCATAATGGTGGGGGTCAATGAATAGATTAGCTTTATGGGAATTTACAGTTCTTCCATGCATCTATAATTTGGTAAGTCTGGTAACCACTGATCTACTTTTTAAAACTTCCCCCACTCAACTTAAATCTATACGAATATAAATCTTAAATTTTAATCTCAGCTCTAAAGGTTTTCGTAAGTTAAATAACTGTCCCCAAAAGTACACTACACTATATGTATGTTATCCTGCTGCCCCCTTGAATCTATTTAAAATCTGACCTTGATGTTTACGTTGAAATCTAATAACTAGCTTTTGTTCATACTACAGTGAGATGACTGCATAGTCTTCAGTAACTGAAAAATTAAACATGGTACGTCAAGGACCACTTTAATACGGTATTAGTCTTCTGGTTCTTTGTTTCTACCTAAACATCAATTAAACCTATAAAAAGCATATAAAATTATATTCTAATGTATGGTTGATTTTCTTGTCTGTTTGCTTTGAGTTCTGTAAAAAGTCTAGATTGGTATCAAGTGAAAAAACAAGAATACTACCTTGTGTGTGTCTCTGAATTTGCTGATCTCTCGGGATATCAGATCTCTTTTGTCTTCTTCCATTTCTATGGCATTTATATCCTCCTAAAAGACAAGGGGAATGAATGAAGATCAAGCTACATCAATATAACAAGATAAACATTAGATACTTTTTGTCTTACATATTAAGACTGAATAAGTAAAAATGACATCAACAGTCAACAGTATAAACAAAGCTAACATTATGAAGTTAAATAATAAAAATAATCATGGACAAGAATCACAAATCTGGCATTTGTAAGTACATACAGGAATTATTAAAGCCCACAATTTAAACGAACCTTTGTGATGAGTGGATAAGGGATCAGTGGGGCCACTGGAAATCTGCGGAAAATCTGCGGAAAAATCCAAAATTTTTTTAAAAAACAGAGCTCACATTACCCTGCAAGTCAATGCCCTATACATTTATAATACAGCATAAATACTTGGGATATTTTCTTGATTTCAAATTACTTGATAATAAAAATGACTTCCTTCTCTTAAAAATCCATCTTCTATCACCCACCATCTCTTTTCTATCCAAAAGACCCAAACAACAGAATAAGGAGGTTTCATGGTATTCAATGTCTTCTAAGAAAAACAATTATGCTTTAAAAAATTTGCCTATAATTCCTGCCAAAGAACAGTGTTTCTATGAACCTTTCATTGCAATAGATGCCAAATGTCTATTTTTCTTGTTTCACATTGATAGAAGAAGAGGAAGAACAAACTCTATTAGTTACCATCACCAATAGACTGCACCTCAACTGGACAGGCTTTTATGATCAAAGTAAGAAGTCAAGTAATGAAAACTTATTTGGGCAAAATCAAAACTGAAGAAGTTAAAAGAAGGCACTAAATTCCTTCAAAATAATGTGAACTGTCACAATTACCTGATAACTAATCATAATACATACATTTCATAGTACTTTTGCATAGCATATACAATCTATGCATTTAAAATATTTTCATTTTTATAGAACACTACAATGTCAAATGAAACATTTCAAAAGTGAAAAGCACTAGAGTAATATCATAAAAAAAAAAATAAATCACAGAAATGACTGTGATCAGAACACATACGTCCTCTTTCTTTTCCTTCTTCTTCTTCCTGGGGTGAGAGTCAGATTCCTGAGAAGGGGCATTTAGCTCACTGGAGTATTCACGTATTAAAACTTCAATGGCCCCTTTAATCATCTGATCTCTTCTCTTTGTTTCTTCGTCCAATGCTTCTTCATCATCATTAGTGACAGTTTCTGGTCTGGCATTCTTAAAAACCAAGACAAGTTCAGGGGAAGAAAAAAAAAATCAAAGAAATGAAAATCATGTTAACACGTGTATTTTTCTCTAAAATATCTTAGTCCTACTAAATACAGAATTGATTTTAGTGATAGCTACTATGGCAGATAAATAAAACCATGAACACATTAAATAAACAAAAAATACTACTAGATTGCTTTACACTAAAATATAAGTATTAGAGATGTTAGGAACTGAAATGGTTTCTTTTACCCTCTCTTCTACAATTTCTTTAATGAAGGAAATGCTCCTCATAAAAAACACATACAATAAGGAAAAATGAACTCTCAATACTGCCAACTCTTTATTTATCCCTCTTGCTTGCGCATGTAACTTTACAAAAATAAAACAGTTCATGTAACGTACTCATAAATAAGTGATTTGTTACTCTATTATTTAAAAGAAAAGCTTTGATTGTTAACTATACCTCTGTGGGGAAAATTTACGGTCTTCTAATGTGCTGTTATTTCTATCTACATGAGAGGTTCGGTGGCTGAAGTTAATTAAGTTAAGAATACAAACACACCCAATTAATACAATGACTAACTTTGGAAAATTTCCAGTTACTCTCTAGTCTTCTCTACTAAAAACATGGAAAAGGACAAAAGTATGACAAAGAGGCAACAAGATAAATATAAAAAAGTTCATGTACAAAAAGTTTATTTGTAATTTAAAGTATGTACCCACCTACATATCCTCATATTAATATACTTTGTAAATATATGCTTTTTTATATATTCCCTTTCAGAAACATACTCTTGCATAAGTGTTCAGCTTAGTCACAACTCTGCTAAAGATGAGTTTCATGTCTTACAGTTATTGAATAATCTAACCTACCAGTAATTTCCAAACTCAACCACCAACATTCTCAAAGTTCTTTCCAAAGAATATTCAACAAGCCTTTATTTCTTAAATTAATTTGCTGAACAAATTCTAATTCAGAGCATACTGTTTAACATCATTAGAAGGCATAAAATTCAGAATTTAAAAAAAAGAACTTTGTCCTCAAGCATTTACCAATATAGGGGTTATGAAGCACAAAATGTCAATATATGGTATCTAATATCATAAAACTACGCACACTGAGTTTTTTACTCTCAAACCTGCCTGCTTAGTCAGTATTCCTTGGCATCTTAGATAAAGACAAAGTGTATTATACAGACTATAAATAAGATACTAAAATATGTATCAATGTAGTAAACTTGTAATTGCAATGTTCCTTACTTGAAATCGATAATATAAAGTAATAAGGTCTTTACTTCATAAATCTGTCACTAAAATCTCTTTGCTGATAAACGCTGCTCATTTAAAGGTTTTATATGAAAGAGAACCCTTCAGTAACACTGAGACCTTCTATCTTGTGGCACATATGGCAATTCTATCCAAACTCCCTGTTGGTTATTTTTTTGAGACATAGTCCTGCTATGTATGTAGCCTAGTTTGGACTCAAAGTCTGAATCTTCCTGCTGTAGCCTCCCAAGGGTTGAGATTATAGGTGAGAGCTACAACAACTAGCTTCCCCAAAGTCTTACCTAAACACAGACAACACTTTGGGCTGGGAGGGGAGGGGGCATGGCTTAAGCAATAGAGCACTTGCCTAGCATGTTCTAGGCGCTGGGTTCAATCCTCAGTAACCAACTTCCTCTGCCCTCCCCCAAAAAACCCCACGTGATTAAGAAACTACCCAGTCTACAAAAAGATATAAACAATTGCATCCATGCAAATATAAGCAGATTTAAAGCTTTGCACTGGCTAAACAAAATTTCACAAAATTGTGCATTTCTTTAAAGTGATTTACTTTATTTTCAATTTTGAGGATAAAATTTGTACAAACTGAAACACCTAAAAATCAATGATTATGTCCAATAAAAAATGAGTCCAAGCCAGGCGCTGGTGGCTCATGACTGTAATCCTAGCTACTCAGGAGGCAGAGAACGGGAGGATCAGGGTTGGAAGCCAGCCAGTCAAATAGTTCACAGGACCCTATCTCAAAAATACCTAACACAAAAAAGGATGGTGGAGTGCAGGCCCCGAGTTCAAGCCCCGGTACCACAAACAAACAAACAAAAAAGCCTATATATATGGAAAGAGTCTGACTGAGAAAACTTGAAGATAGGGTAGATGAAGGCTACATGAATCAAGCGACACGCTAATTTTAACTGTGGACAGAATTTCAACAGGAAGCTTGGATGGGCAACAAGGACTTGAGATGTCAGCAACACAAAGGAATTTTGGGGGGCACATCGATTGGAATGTGCAGAAGAGAAAAAAGGAAAGCTAGAAAGGTGAAATGAAGTAAAACTTGAAACCATGCTAAAAAATACAGCCTTATTTGCTTGGCTCAAGTGGTTGAGCAAGACACCAGCAAGCACAAGGCACTAAGTTTGAACCCAACAACTGCCAAAACAACAAAATCAATACTGAGTTGGGGGTATAGGTCATTGTTGTATAATATGCCTGGTATGTACATGTGAGACCTGGGATGACTCTCCAGAAATGGAAAAAAATACATCAATACTCCAGCATGGGTTTGACTTAACAATGATTTGACATAATTGTATTTCTACTTCATCAATGTAGGCAGGGCTTTAACAGGAAAGTAAAACCAAACACAGGAAATCAGTTAATGTATTAGTAAAAATCCAAGGAAAGAAAAGGACTATGTGGGATAAAAGTTCTTTATAAAATAACATTCAGAATGTAATACTGTATTTATGAAAACTATATTCAGGGCTGGATGAGTGGCTCAAGTGGTAGAGCACCTGCCTACCAAGTGTGATGCCCAGTTAAAATCCCAATGCCACCACAAAAAAACAAACCCAAACAAACAACAACAAAAAATTCATCCGCATAAAAAAGGGTCTGGAAGAATATGCCAACCAAAATGTCTATAGGTATGTATAGTGATAGGGTAGTATTTAATTTCTTCTTATACTTAGCTTTTTTGTACTTTTTTTAAACAAAGAACATCAGTGCTTTTATATATTCATTTTTTGTTTTGTTTTGGGTGGGACCAGGGTTTGAACTAAGGGATTCATATTTGCAAAGCAGGTGCTTTACTGCTAGTCACAACTCCACTACATTTTTGCTTGGGGACCTCTGAAAATATTTGCCTGGCCTCCAACTGTGATACTCCTGATATCAGCCTCCCAAGTAGCTATGATTATAGGTGTGAGTCACCAATACCAGGTCATACAATCCAATTTCTATCTTAGAAACTAATGAAAGCTTCATAAGAACAAAAGGTGATTTTGAGGAAAGCATACCAAGCATGAGGTCCTGAGTTCAAACACCAGTGCTGCCAAAAAAAGAAGCTGGTACTGGTGGCTCCCGCCTGTAATCCTAGCTACTCAGGAGGCAGAGATGAGGAGGATCAAGGTTCAAAACTACCCTAGGCAAATACTTCACAAGACCCTATCTTGAAAATACCTAACATAAAAAAGGTTGGTAGAGTGGCTGAAGGTATAGGCCCTGAGTTCAAGACCTGGTACTGAAAAAAAAGAAGGTGATTTTGGTTTTTTATTTGTTGGGTAAGAAAGATAATAATAAATCTATGTTAGATCTGTTCAGTTTGAGGTGTTAAAAAGGAACTAAGAGTGGGGAAAAACAATATATACTCAGGTTTAGGCTTTGTTTTTACTTGTTGAGGTAATAAATAAATCATTAAAACACAATATACAAAAAATTCCTTTCTTCTCACTTAAGATAGCCTTAAAAAAAAAAAAATTGGCCTGATTAATCCGGGTACATAAAGTAGAAAGGCTTATTTTCATTCATTTTAGAATTTGTGTACTTCTAAAGAAAAGGGCAACTAAAAAATATTGTGTATGTTAAAATATATTTTGTACTTACTTACATAGCTGCCTTAATGAATTAGCTGTCTGGAATAGTCTGTACCAGTGATTCCTGGTAAATTAACCTTGTCCAGCCTCCCTTACTACCTTCATCCCAACCTGGAACAAGCAAATCAACAGTCATCCACCCACTGTGGGTAGATAAAACACTTACAATAACTACAAACTATAAAACACACTCCTGCATTTAAGCCACAAACACATTATTACAATGATGATGATCATGGGAGTCCCCATGTTAGATTCATTTATAATGGGAAGTATTTACACTGAAATAGCACAGCTGGCTTAGGGAAATTCACACTGCAGAAAAACATACCCCATTAGAAGCTTTCTTCTTTGCTTTCCATTCATCTAGTTGTGCCTTTGTCTTTGCATCAACTTTAACAAGTAGCTTTTTCTCTCCAATCTGCAGGTCATGCAATAATCTGAGTGCACGAAGGGTAGATTCAGGCTCCTTATATTCACAGAATCCAAAGGCTAGTGGTGAATATAAAGAATTAGTGAAATATCAATGCAATTATGAAAAGTAAAAAAAAAAATTCTGGAAAAATAAAATCATTAAAGACAAATGTGTGTACAAGGATTATCAAAGTTATGATGCCACCCCTGTCCTTGACTTCCTTTTGATAATTTCACTTTTAGCACCTTCAAAAAAAAGAGACATAGATTTTAAAAAGTCAGATGAAAAGAAAGTTAGAATCAAGCAATATGCTACTTCTTAAAACATTTGATAACATATTTAGCAATCAGTGAATCATCACTCAAATGATTATTTCAAAAATACTTCCTAACACAGTAACAAACTGCTTACATGTTAATAAAGCACTTTTGACCTCTGAGATGTTAAACTAAAGAAATATAGATCTTTCAGTAATCTTTGTTTTTCTTTATTTTATTTTATACCTAGTCAACCTCACTTTTCTTTTTCTTTTTTCTTTCTTTTTATTTTGGGAGGGGAGAGAAACTGGGGTTTGAACTCAAGGCCTGGATCTTGCTAGGGAAGTG